AAATTCTCCTAAATCACTCGTACGCACAATTTAAGAACAAATCTATGCGTACGAACGGTTCTTGCATGAGGCCCATTCTGCTGGTTTTAGCTAAATTATACACTCACTACTAACGCTGGCATCTTATCTAACTCAGGAATGACTGCAGCAAAACCTGCTGTGTAAAAAGTGACATTTATCTGTTTAAAAATAATCCATTTGTGAAACTAAACTTAGAAGAAAATGAGCAATTATCAATCCGTCTGGATTGTTGTCAGCTCAAAGTTCAAAACTCAGCTCTGATGGCATGGTGGTATATTATTATAACTTGCACATCTGTGAAGGCACCATTAATGCTGAAAGGTACATACAGGTTTTTGAGCAACTTATGCTGCCATCCAAGTGATATATTTTTCAGGGAGGTGACGTCCTGCGTATTTCAGCAAGACAAGCTACATTCTGCACGTGTGACAACAGCGTGGCTTCGTAGTAAAAGCGTGTGGGTACTAGACTGCCCTGCCTGCAGTCCAGGCCTGTCTCCCATTGAAAATGTGTGGAGCATTATGAAGCACAAAATACAACAACAGATACCCTGGACTGTTTGGCAACTGAAACTGTTCATCAAGCAAGAATTGGAAAGAATCTCATCAACAAAGCTGTTGAGTGTTGTTTAAATGAAAGGTGATATAGCACAGTGGTAAACATGCCAACGTCCCAGCTATTTTGGAACGTGTTGGCTAGGTGCAACATTGCAGTAAGTAACAGTGTTTGGGCGGCTGTGGCAGAGTGGTTAGGGGAGTCACCCTGAAACCAGCATGTTGCCAGTTCAATTCCCAGTCCAGCCGTTTCAGTCTTTGTGTCCTTGGGCAAGATGCTTCACCCACCTTGCCTACTTGTGGACCATTTTTTTCAATTTCCACCACAGGTTTTCAGTTTTCAAATCCAAGACTGGTGATTCCATACTTTTTGCCAGGGGTTGTATATGGACATTGGTCAGACTCCCTTGGCGTCACTTATTAACACAGAGGGTATCCTCCTTGCGTCAAAATTTAATATACAGGATACTCTCATTGAATGGTATACAAGTCCTTAAATCTTGGAAACTGACAACATGTGAACATGGAGGAAAAATATAAAACCTGAYGAGAGAATTTACTTTTCGGAATATCCTCAAGTTTTGCACAAACTTGATAATCACCCATTAGATTAAATTGGGTGTTGAAGCAGAGGAACAGAGGATCAAGACTGGACACCCCAAATCTAGAGGATGGGTTTTAARGGGTCTTGATGAGGTCTTAAAGTTGTTCTGGAGGTTTCTTTGGTCTTCTTAAGTAATGCTTCTTAATCCTGGTCTTCAAGGATGCCTATCCTGCATGTTTTAATTGTTTMCCTGCTCTTCAGTAAGTCTTTAAGTTCTGCAGAGGCCTGCCAATCACTCATTCATTTAAATCAGGTGTGCCAAAGCAGGATTGATGTTGACTGAGAACCACTGTTTCTAAGAATGCAGAGGGAACTGCATTATTTTTTCTCCTTGGTTTTTAACTTAGCTTGAGATGTTGGTTTTTATTGTTTTATTAGTTGTTTTTATTATTTTAATGGTTCATTTTACATAGTTTATTGTTTTTATGATTGTTTTTATGTGCTTTTATTAGTGTTCTGTACTTTGGTCAACAGTGATTTTTTAAAGCGCATTATGAGTATTTATTATCATAGTAACAGCATATCTGGCTCCTTGGTAGAGCTTGGAGAAGCAAGTCGGTAGTGGTGAGAGCGTATCAATGTCATGGGTCACCAGAATTTGAAGCAGAGTGGGTCACATGGTCTCATGTTGAGAGGCTACAACTGTGGTCTTGAGAAAGTCAYGGAAATGATGTCGCATGTTGGTTGCAGGGATAATGTGGTGCAATCTTCTCACATGTGCTGACAAGGTTCATTGGCTTGGGTCAGGGTGGATGTTTTAAAGGGRCAGTATTATGTATTATATATTTTCCAGGTAYATWGTTCAATTCTACACCACAATCAAGTTACCAGTAACTTGGTGAACCAGTAATAACCATGTTACCTTTGGTTGTTATGAAAATTCCCCTTGAAACACCTTGAATTGGCCTACATCTCTTTAAGAACCTCCYAATGTTTCCAACACTCCCACTTCAACACRTCTTCACAAAAATAGTTCGGGGATGGGGTGCCCTGTGGGGCRGGAGCCCAGCTGCAGGCTGAGCTCCAGGGAGGAGCTATGTACAAATAGGCAGTGCATTGTAACTGGCAAGCGTTTAGGCAGCTCAAGATTCAAGGATTTCTCAAACAAGCATGAATGAGTCAAAGCAACACTCTGGGTATGTTTTTGATGAGGGAATGACATAACATGATAAAAAGCTCAAAAAAGTTGATTTTGCATAATACCCCAAAGTTTCTTGGAGGCACAGAAAATATCAGGAAAACCTATCTGAGAAGTAAAAAAAAGGGTTTCTAAGCTTCCTGTGGTCAAATCATATTTTAATTCTTATTGAGTTGTGAAGAGTGCAGTGAGCAGAGCCATTATCCAATGTTAAGGAAACCTTATGTTGGGTCCTGATGATGGGGAATCTGCACTAACATCCATCCATCCGTCAATCCGTCTGCCTGTCCGTCCTTCCGTCCATCCATCCATCCGTCCGTCCATCCATCCATCCATCCATCCATCCATCCATCCATCCATCCATCCATCCATCCATCCATCCATCCATC